GGGGGAATTTTGTAGCAAAAAAAGTCTGGTATCAGTTCAAAGGCTGGTAGGCACACAAGAATGCTTGTTGTAGCAAGTTGTGAGTGGGTGAGGACGTGAACACCTGCAGCTCCATTGTTCCTGGCAACCGAATTCTGGAAGTGGCTCCACTTGTAACGGTTTTTTTTGGGGGGGGTGCCTTGGTGGTCTGTCAATAAATTAATGATGAGTCCTTGGCTTTCTTGTGGATAGCTCTCTGAAAACGTCTGCTTGAAGTGTTGTGCACGTCTGCTACATATGGAGAGGATTATCTAGACAGTTATGTGCTTAGTATGTGTTTGGTTAGGGAGCCACCAGAAGTATCTCGGGTTATAATAACATACAGGGGAGGGCAATACCTGATCATCCTTGGTTAGAGGGACAAGCTAACTCTCCCTCTGCTCTTCAGCTTTGGGATGGGTATGATTGTCAGGGATATTCCCAGCAGTCAGAAACGCTTTTCAGCAGGGGTTGTTTTGTAGAAAAATAGCTAGGGGAACTCATTAGCATAACTCATTAGCATATGCCACACCCCCTGACATCACCAGAAGTGTATCATAAGGCCACACCCCCTGACATCACCGGAAATGTGTCATAAGGCCACACACCCCGCCCACAACGGTCCCGGCCGCCGCCGCCGGCCTTGCAGGCCCATAAGGGGCCCGGCGGTGGACCTGCAAGGCCAGCGGGAGTGCAAGGAAGCCCCGCGAAGGCCCTCCCTGGCCCCAGGCAGGGGTGGGGAGAGGCAGGGAGGAAGCAACTTACCCTCCTCCTGCCTCCTCCTGGCTGAATGAGGGCCGGAAGCGGGGTGGCCGGAAGCAGGGGGCGGGGCTTCGTCATGTGCCCCGCCCCCCGTACCACACCCAGGGGAACTGCGATTCCCCCCCGAAATGACCTCTGCTTTTCAGAGAGACTTTAATTAAATATCTATTCTCCATTGTTCTTCACGATGGGGATCCTATAGCAGCTCACAATGCTGTTCTTCCCTCCTCCATTTCATCCTCACAGCCACCCAGTGAGGTACATTTTCCTCGAGAGAGTAGCTGAGCTTCCATGGCAGAGCAGGGATTCAGATCTGGGTCTCCCAGATCCTAGTCTTAACTATGACACCATGCTGAACTTATATTGTGTACCCCAGAACAGCTCCTATTCACTGGAGGAAGCCACTCAGAGGGGATGGACCCAGGAATGTGAACCCCGGGCTGTTACAGAGTCAATATTATGGACCAGTGTTCATGTCAATTGCATGGCATGCATGCATGACTGGGTCCCTGGTAATCCCAGAAACTGAACTCTTAATTTGACATTAGCAATATTCTCTGGCCCGCTTTTCCCTCGCTTACAGTGACATAATACTACTTAACATTTGAGTAACACTTTCTAATATTCAAAATGCATACTATTATAATTACCACATGGCATTGTGTGTAGTATAGCCAGGAGATACTAAGATTGTCTGGCAGCCAGAATTTTTAGCTCTTTTATGCCCCACTAGGGGGCGAGCTAGACTTGTTTTTAAGGCAAGAGACATTTCAGAGGTGGTTTGCCATTGCCTGCCTCCGTGTCATAACCCTGGTATTCCTTGGAGGTCACCCTCCACTTGCAGCTGCTGGATGACCTTGGGCAAGCCATTGTTCTGACAAGAGCTGTCCTTGAAAGGGCAGTTCTTGAAAGAGCTCTCTCAGCCCCACCTACCTCACAGGGTGTCTGTTGTGGGGAGGGGAAGGGGAATGAGATTGTAAGCCGCTCTGAGACACCTTTGGGTAGTGAAGGGTGGGGTATAAATCCAATCTCCTCCTCTTCTTCTTTCAAATAGTAGCCAAGGCCAACCCTGCTTATGAGTATGCATAAAACACATACGAACACAAGAAGAGCCTTGCCGGGTCTGACTAACAGTTCATCCAATCCTGCATCATGTTTTCTACAGTGGCTACCTAGATGCCCCCACAAAACAAAGCACAGAGTTTCTAAAAACTTCCCTTGGTGCTGCTGTGGAGTAATTGGCACTCAAGGTGAATTTACACTGACATTTAATTTAGCCAGCATTGCTAACAGCCGCCGATGGGCTTATCCTCCAGGGAGATGTCTATTCCCCCTTTTTAAAACCATCTGAACTAGTGGTCATGATTACATCCTGCAGCACTGAGTTTCACAAGTTAACTCTATGTTGTGTATGCTACACATAACTTATTTTGTTGTAGTCCTTACCTCAACACCGTAAGGTAGGTCAATAGTAGTACATTGGATACTATCAGGTCTCGCATGGACAAAATGAGGAGGAAGGGCCCCTTTTGACTACAGAAAAGGCTCTTCTGGGGATTATAGGACCTGAGTGGAGAAAAGCCACGCAGGACAGGGTCTGTAATGATGATGGGAATTAGGTGAGACAAACAGAAATTAGGTGAGACAAACAGAAAACCTAGTAGGTTCCAACACATATTCATTTAGACAGGGGTCTTGTTGTAGAAAAAGAGCTGCCGGAGCTCATTAGCATAACTCATTAGCATAACTTATTTGCATATGCCACGCCCCCTGACATCACCGGAAGTGACAGAAGGCCACACCCCCTGACATCACCGGAAGTGTGTCAGAAGGCCCGGCTACTTACCCTCCTGCTTCATCCTCATTCCCAAACGGAATGAGGATCGAAGCAGAGGGCGGGGTAAAGAAGGGGGCGGGGCTTCACCACGTGACCGCCCCGCCCCCTAGAGGTTCTCTTCTGGAGCTCCGTACCTGAGAGCTCCCCCCCAACTAGAGCCCTGCATTTAGATATGTATGCCCCACTTTTCTCTGTAGCCGGGACCCAAAGTAGCTTACAGCATCATTCTTCCTTCATCCATGTTTATCCTCAAAACCAGGGGTCATTTCCTGCAGGAGCGCACAGGAGCGGAGCTCCGGCAGTAAAGAGCCCAGGAGGTGGGCACATGCAACAAGCCCCACCCCCTGCTCCCAGCAGCCTTCAGTCAGAGCAAGAAGCAGCCAGGTAAGTTGCAGAGCTCCCTCCGGTCCAAAACAGTCCAGTGGCACTTTTAAGACCAAGTTTTATTCAGGTACAAGCTCTCCCTCCTCTGCAAGGACAGATCTGCACATTTCTCCCCCCCCCCAATAGCTAGCAATCCAAAACAGTCCAGTGGAGCCTGAGCGGTGGGTGTTGCCTTCTGACACACTTCCGGTGATGTCAGGGGGTGTGGCGTATGCAAATAGGTTATGCTAATGAGTTATGCGAATGAGCTCCTGCACCTCTTTTTCTACGAAATGACCCCTGCTCAAAACCACCATGTGAGGTGGGTTAGTTTCACAGACTGGCTCAAGGTCACCCAGCGCGCTTCCATGGCAGAGTGGGGATTTGAACTTGGGTCTCCCAGATCTTAGTCTGGCGCTCTAACCACTACACCACACCGAGTAGCATATTAATAGATGGTGGCTTCCCTAAGTCTACCCAGTGACACGTGGTTGAAAAAATTGTCCTCTTTGAACTGAACTAGAGCCTTTGCCAGCAACTGAGCTGGCGTTTTATGCTAATTACCAATTAATCTGCTTTTTTTAGTTAACTGCGTTGTATTCTGTGCATTTGAATGGCTACAGCAGGGGTGGCCAAACTTGCTTAATATCAGAGCCGCATAGAATAAATGTTAAGATGTTCGAGAGCTGCAAGTCATGAACAAATATTACACATGTTTTTATTGGGAAATATGCAAATTTGCTTTTTATTACCATTAAACGAGACTGCTGAAAAAAATAGAAGGGGTAAAAACAGATATTGATAATGATATTTATTTGTCCAATGATATTTATTTGTTTGCTAATTATATTTATTTGTCTAAGAGAGAGAGAAAGAGAGAGGTGGAAAGAGAGAGAGAAATAAAGAAAGCAAATAGATGGGGAAAGGAAGAGAGAAAAAGAGAAAAAGGTGGAAAGAAAGCGGATGGGGGAGGGAGCAAGGAAGGGGGGAGAGAGAGAGAGAAACAAAGAAAGCAGATAGATGGTGAGCCTGCTGGATGCCACACAATATGTGTGAAAGAGCCGCATGAGGCTCCCGAGCCACAGTTTGGCCACCCTGATTGCCACGGCTATGTAGCATTTCTCAGTATGGGTGAGATTATCAATGTAATCCTATGCAGAGTCACTCCAGTATAAAGCCACTGAAATTTTCTGTTTAGGAATGCACGATGACACCTTTGCACCTATTTCCTGACTCAATCTCCTTTAGATTACAGGATAGTTCCTATTCCATTTATTAGATTAGTTTTGACATTATAAATTAATTGGCTTTGAGATAACATTTGCACTGTCTCTATGTGTTTTGTATGTGTTTAGAGGGTGAAGATTTCAAGAGGGGAAATGGGTACTGTTGTCCATCTTTCCAAACAAAACATGTTCCCTTTAAAAAAAAAAAAAAAGCTCAGGAAGATTCCTGCTTTTCTGTGCTGCTGTTGCTGGCACAGCGACCCTCTCCTGCGCCTCCCTCAACTCCCAGCTATATAAAAACAAGGTCTCTGGGAGCCGGGTTTCACAGAGAGCTGAGGGGAATGCCGCTCGCTCACTGCGCTTCCAGGGACAGCCTCTGCTTTTCAGGGAAAGCCTGTGCGGGCTTTTAAAAGGTTGCTCTGAAGCCATGGAGGTGCTGCTGACATGCCTGCTCTCAGTCTGGGCAGTGTGGGGAGCACTAGGGAGCACTGTCCATCTCCACAAGACGAATGACCAGGATGGCAGGTGCATCTATTCCTTCACAGTCCCTAGTGCGAATGAAGCCAGCTGTCCTAGCCCAGACGAAACGGCGACAGCTCTCCAGGCTCTCCAGCGGGAGACCATTGCCCAGCGAGTGGAACTGGAGTCCGCTAGAGCAAGGCTTGGCCTTCTAGAGAACCTGGTGGACCAGCTGCACGGAAGCCAGGTGGTGAGGGGCTCCTCTCTTTCCGTGATGGGACTGCTCCGAAGAGAGGTGGACAGCCTGAAGAGAGAAAAAGCCCAGAGGGACTCCCAGGTCAGCCAGCTGGAGGCCACCATCAGCGACCTCCTCCAAGACAAATCTGTCTTAGAAGAGGCTAAGAGGCAGCTGGAGGAAGAGAAGAATGAGCTGGCGAGGACGCTAGAGAGCAGCATCCAGGAGGCGGCTCGGCTAAGAGCAAGCCAGTGTACGCAGACCGGAGAGGTACCCAGCGGAGATTCCCTGCAAGGTTCTCGAGAAGGTAGGCTGTGTGCCCAGTGTCACCTAGGATAGACTACAGCAAAGGGTTCTGTTTGAAAGCAAGAAAGGCTGTAGGGTTGAGACCTGTCAATGCCTTCTACAACGTCAAACGTCTACAACTTTAACCAAAAGGCTAAGATTAGGTAAACAAAAAGCAATGTTCTAAAAAGTTTTTTTTAAAGATGATAAATAGACAGACAGACAGACAGACGATGGATGGGCGATCTTCCTTAAATAGAGGCACTATCTCAAAAAAGTTGGAAAAGATTAAAAAAACAGCAACCACACTTCTTCCAAGGTGTTTCAATCCCCTGATCATTTATTCATTCTGCGGTTTTCCCCCCTAGCCCCAGAACAGGCTTTTTGAGATGAGACAGCCTAAACTGTGTGGCCTAAACAAGTCCCCCTCTCTCTGGTTTCTGTAATGGCATCATGAATCGTTGGTTGTATTTTCAATTCCTCTCTTAATCACATACTTACACTTCTGTGGTGCTTGACCTTCTGGGCCGGTCCTGGATTCAATCGATGGTCACGATGGGCGGATGACAACACCAGCTGCAGGAAAGCGGGTAGGTTAGAGAAAACTCTTCTCTGCTGTCCCAGGCACCAATCCTTTTTTCTCCCCTCCTCTCCCCTTTTTGCCATGAATTCATTCAGCCTGCCAGAAACGATAAACATCACTGAAGATGCCCCTCATGAATGGAGCAGAGGCAGCTCAGTGGCTGTGTGGTCTCTGCTAACAATTCCAGACAGTACCTCCCATGGTGCTTTTTTGCTTTTTTTTTTTTTTTTTACAAAGATCGGTCCTATGAAGCAACATCCCCCCCTGCCCCGCCCCGCTCTCAGAATGCACACAGTTGCCTTTTGGAAGGAATATGAGGGGGGGGGGGCAAGACGTTTCACAGAAGGGTCTTCCAAGCTTTGCTTCACACAGACCCAGTGGCTCCAAGAAGGCCTTTTTTAAAGCTGTAATTTCCTCACCCCATCACCAGAAAGCAGAAATAGGGGGTGATGGAATACCGGCGCTGGGATCTCATGTCCATCCGGGGAATATTTTTGGAATGGGATGCCTGAGCGGCAGCAGAACGAGAGCATCATCACTTTAGGACACACCGGTTCCAAAGCTGAAAAATAACTATCGCACATCATCCCTTCACGTCAACACAAGAGTTTCGAGGACAAATTGCTTCTGTGTCCTGATGAATTGTCAGGTGGGATCGTATTTTAAATTTAAGAAAATGAGGAGGCTGCCTAGAATAAGAAAAACCTGGCTTGGCCAAGTTTTTTTGGCTTTGGGGCCAGAGGCCAGGAAACAATGGGCTTATTTTCCTTCTTAGCCTTTTCTTGTTTCTTTGTTGGAGCCAAATGCAACGCTTTATGTTCAGATCCCCAGATGTGCATTAAAAACAGCTGGGTATCAGTGTGGATCAGGGCTGCAGCAGCACCAGGAAAGGGGAGTTAGCCTATTCTGGGCTTCTTTAAGCTGGGGAGGGGAGCGAAAACAGGTACTTGTATTGTGGGGATAATAATACTTGCCTACTTTGCAGGACTGCTTTAAGGATTACTGAGATAATGTATGCAAAGTGCTTGGAACACTCTTAACAATTTCCACAATTGTTATTTCTCCCATCTTGGATACCATGTTCATGTGTTTATTTCTCCTCTCCCGCCCCCGCCCCACTACAGTGTCTAAGTGGAATATGGAGAATTTGGACTACCAAGAGATGAAATCAGAACTAACAGAGGTTCCTGCATCTCACCTTTTCCCAGAAAACCCTTCACCCAGCATTCCTGGTACAGAAGCTGCAGATACAGGTAAGAAAGCTCCAGTGGATTTCTCTTCTGGCTGTCTTTCACCCCCAGTTTCAGTCAAACCCTTCCTTCTACACCCCCCCCCCAACATGTTTCCACACTTGAAAAGGCACGGACGGGTGGGGGTGGGGGTGGCAAGAGAAGTGGTCCTGCCCAATGCTCCCTCTAAGCTGTGGAGTCTTGTGAGCAAAAATTCTACTTTGTGAGCGACTGGCATTAAAGTCGTGAGTGAGCCATTTGGCTACTGCATACATTAGTTTGCGCTGGAGCCCTCCTTCCTGAGCTGAGACAAAAATGTGTGAGCTGGAGGCTAAAAAACTGTGAGCTATCTCACACTAACTCAGCTTAGAGGGAACACTGGTCCTGCCATGCTGTGTTAGACTTTAAAAGAGCAGCAATGGCCTCTGGTCAGACCCATGGACGCTGTCACATCTAGCTGGGCCTTCGTGAGTTTCCCCCTCAGTGCTAATCCTGCTATCTAAATGTTATCTGGATTCCCCTCCTTCCCTGGCTTCCTCCCCATTTTAATTCATGCTTCCCATCCCAGGAGCCAAGAAAGAAGGGACTGCTCTGTTGTCTTTACCAGCCTGCCCTTTCACAAGAGCCAAATGATCCTGGAAAACTTCCCACCAACAGCACCCCAGTTGCTAAGCGTGGGGGTAAAGCACTAAGAGTGAAATTCCAGCCTCTCATCTCCAAGGGTGGACTGGCCCTTTAGCTTACTGGGAAAGTTACTGGGAGGCTGCTGACGGTTGCCAGGTCCCTCCTGGCCACCAGCGGGGAGGCGGGGACCATAGGGTTGCTAGCTCCAGGTTGGGAAATTCCTGGAGATTTGTGGATGGAGTTCAGGGAGATCAGGGACCTCAGTGGGGGACAATGCCATACAGTTCACCCTCTGAAGCACCCATTTTCTCCAGGGGAACTGATCTCAGTAGTTTGGAGATGAGCTGTAATTCCAGGGGATCCCTGGGTCAACCGGGCCATGGCCTCTGTGGTGCTAACTTGCTGTCATTTATTTACTTATTTTAATTTACAACGTATATTAGCTGCCTCTCTACCTTGTTGACCCCCCCCCCCCGGGCAGCTTACGATATAAATAAAACGAGATTAAAAACACATAAAACACGATTTAAACGTTCCAGTTAGTGCTGCCAAGAAACAAAAACTAAAGTAGTCCAAGCGGTCCTAAGTAAAACTGTCTTCAGCTGCCTCCTGTGCGCTCCTGCAGGAAATGACCCCTGGGTTGGGGGATTCCTGGAGATTTGTGGGTGGAGCCTGGGGAGGGGAGGGCTTGGGGAAGGAAGAGTCCTCAGCAGGGTATAATTCCCTATCCCCCCCCCAGCATCCCTTTTCTCGAGGGGAGCTGATCTCTGTAGTCTGAAGATCAATTGTAACTCCAGATCTTCAAGCCCGATTTAGAGGCTGGCAGCCCCTCGACCTGTTCACCCTGGTGTGCCGACTTTGAATCTGCAGGTAGTTTTTACCTCGGGGAAACTTTAAAAATGTGGCTTTCCCCCCCTGGAGTTTGAAGTGGTCCAGCGCATTCTACGCTGTCATTCTGTTGCCCGTGTAGACCAGACCTAACACCTGAGAACAAAAGTCATGACCTCCTTGCAAGGTGAACTGGATACAGCCAGGATCGAATCTTTCTGCCTCTTGTGATCAGGTAATGGCCCATCTCATTACCAAATGAATGCAACAGCCACGGATATGAACACCAATCCAGGGCTGGAGTGCGACAATTATCTTTTGGAGCACTCCACAGGGTCACGTTTCAGCTGTTAAATGAAATGGATCCCTAATTGCAAAGATGACTGCTGTTGTTATTGTTGCAGAAATTGTATTTAAAGTAAAGCGAGCAACACACCCTTGCTTCACTGCAGATCAGAAGCGAGAAGGTGGGAGCAGCAAGCAGATGGCATGAGAGTAGCAGAGTGGGTCACTGAACCTGGACTTCCCAGATTCTAGTCCAATACTCTCACCTCTACACCACACTATTTAAACGGGGACAGTCTAACAACCAGTTTAGTGTACTGGTTAAGAGTGGCAGACTCTAATCTGGAGAACCAGGTTTGTTTCCCCACTTCTCGACATGCAGCCAGCTGGGTGACCTTGGATCAGTCACAGCTCTCTCTGAGCTGTTCTCTCAAGAGCAGTTCTCTCAGAGCTCTCTCGGCCCCACCTACCTCACAGGGTGTCTGTTGTGGAGAGGGGAAGGAGATTGTAAACTGCTCCGAGACTCCGAGTGAAGGGTACGGTATAAATCCAACTCTTCTTCTTCTCAGAAAGTATTCTACTGAGGGACGGGCAATTCTCTCATGACTTGTGTGAGAGATTTCTTTATGCAAAGCAATGCCAGACTAGGTAGACCTCTGGTAGGTAGACCCAGCTGAAGAGTTCTTATGTTTTTAAGTTACTTTTTACATGACGGTTTTGAGAAGGAATCTTTGGCCTTGTTCTTCATTGTAAAATAAACACGATCTATAGCCATATAAACCTGCAGCGGTTCTGACTCTGCTTGCTCCAAGCTGTGTCTTCAGCTCTCCATAAGGATTGTGAAGAAGTTCCTCCATCAGTTCCACTAATGCAAAGCGGCATCCTCATTTTCATGGCATCAAATAACAACACTGTTCTAATTTATCGTCATCAGGTGTTAGTCAGACAGGCTGCGATAACTCCAATAGTCTGCACTGTCAAAGTAAAATATATATATATATCATGCATCTTGTCCAAGATATTTCATAATTAAATTGGTACTTGACAGACCATGAGACTGTTGTATATTTCCTGATTCCTTCTCTTCTTACAAACAAATCCTGGCTGTTCTCTTCTCCCCATCCCAACCCCTTTGTCTCTTCCTTCCTCTTTCATTCCTGCACAGCAGTAACTCTGTAATGAGCCTAATATACCACTAAACAGACTGTATCAAATGCCAGCATTTTACATGTGTTTCAGTTTTGGAATTCCACAGGGAAATTCAAGGTAGGCGTAACTAGAAAATCTGACTGAAATTATTAACATTCCTCATCAAAAAGAGAGTTATATCAGTTCATTTGACAGTAATAACTTACATTTAAGAATAAGACAAGTGGTTTATGAATAATATGTGTGTGTGTGTGTATATATATCAACCCAATAAATTACAAAATTAATATACCAAATGTAAGATAACAAATCTAAATATACAAATTTGTTGTTGTTCAGTCGCACAGCCGAGTCCGACTCTTCGCGACCCCATGGACCAGATCATGCCATACAAATATGGCGCATAAATGCCAAATACTCAATACAACAAGGTTTCCATCTCTCCCAAGGCCATCACAACTTGTTCTTTGTGGGAAGGGAAGTAACTCAGACAAGTCAGTTTAGTCCAGTCCGATAACCATCTTGTCTGGTCGTGTCGAGACACAAAGCTTAAAAAGGGAAACCACACAGCCTCGAAATGAGTAGAAGAGCCTGATTCTGTATTTTGAATTTTCGTGGCCACTTTTTCTACAAGGCACAAATTGCAATTTTTTGGGTACCAAATGGTCTATATGTAGTAGTACAGAATTGGGGGCAATTACCAATCTTTGATTTATGAATCACTTAACCTATTTTTTTTTAACTAAAACTGAAATCTGGGGACAGGTGTCGGACTAGGCCAGGGACAACCCAGATTCAAATTCCTTCTCATTCATGAAGTTAATTAGGTGACCTTGGGCCAAAGAGTCTCTCCCAGCCTAGCCTATGTAGGGGAGGAGCCATGGCTCAGAGACAGAGGATATCTTTGGCATGCAGAAGGTCCCAGGTTCAATCCCCAGCACCTCCAATTAAAGGATCAGTTAGCAGGCAATGTGAAGGACCTCCGTCTAAGACACTGGAGAGCTGCTGTCAGTCTGAGCAGACAATACTGACTTTGATGAACCAAGGGTCTCACTCAGTCTAAGGCAGATTCATGTTTTCATGTGTCCTTCACGGGGTTGCTATGATCGCAGAGAGGAGAACTATGGACGACGGCCCATCTGAGCTCCTCGGAGGAAAACTGGGATAGAGCTGTGTCCATACAGAACTACTCCACAAAGCCTCACACACCCCAGAAATCAGAGTCAATTTCTCCCTCTTCGCCAGTTAGGACTACCAGGTCCTACCGGGCTGTCGGCAGGAGGCTCCAGGGTCTGTCTCAGGATCATCCGGTGCACACACAAAGCCCGTGTGCCATGATGACATCGCCTGGAAGTGATGTCACCACATCACAGACGTTGGGGTGTGTGTGACAATCTAGTTTTGGGGCAGAACTCTATGGTTTGAGCCCAATTTTACCATAGAGTTTTGTCCAAAAACTGGACCCCAACGTTGGTGACATCATGACATCAGTTCCGGGTGATGTCATTATGTCATGTTCAGGGGCATTTCCGGGTGGGGTTTTCCCTCACTGGCCAGCTGGCTGGTGGCTGAAAGGGGCCTGTAAAAGCAGGGGAATCTCCACCCAGACCCGGGGCCTGGCAACCATATCGCCAGTGCATACCTAACAGCTCTGTGGTAAGGAGGGCCAACAGCTGAGTGACTGAGCACATGGCCTGCATCAGAAGCTTCCGGGTTCAGCCCCCCCCCCCCTGTGTCAGAGGCTTTGGAAGAACACTGCCAGATACAGCAGATGGATGCACTCTGGTTAGACTCAATAGAAGGTAATTTCAGATATGCATACATGTGCTCTGCTGATTTGATCTCTGATAAAAAGAAATGACTCCATCATGTTAAAGACAGTCCCTTCCTTCGTCTTCCAGTCTGGAGGCAGAACCTGAGCTTAGCAAAAGGGCTTCAGTCTTGGCCTGAACAGTTTACACAGGGTGGTTTGAGAAATAGCTAGCTACCTCTTACAATTGGACAGAGTAACTGGCTTGTTTATTCCCTGAAATAGGATGTGGAACGCTGGTGTGGGTTGGTGAACCTGTGACCTTCCGCAAGGCAGAGACCATTGCCGGAAAGTATGGCGTGTGGATGAAGGATCCGGAACCAGTGACTCCCTACACCCACGAGACAACTTGGAGAGTTGACACCGTTGGCACAGATATCCGCCAAGTCTTCGAGTATGAGAATACAGACCAGTTTCTAAAGGGCTATCCTTCAAAAGTTCACGTGTTGCCTCGGTCCATGGAAAGTACCGGAGCTGTCGTTTATCAGGGCTCCCTGTATTTCCAGCGCCGCAAGTCCAGAATACTGGCTAAGTACAACTTAAAGACTGAAGTTGTTGAGGTCCAAAAGGAGCTGCCCAATGCTGGCTACCATGGACAATTCCCCTACTCATGGGGTGGATACACAGATATCGACCTAGCCATTGATGAGTTAGGGCTGTGGGCGATTTACAGCACTGCGGAGGCCAGGGGAGCTGTTGTGCTTTCCAAACTGGAACCAGAGACCCTCGAGATTGAACAGACCTGGGAGACCAACATACGCAAGCAGTCGGTAGCCAACGCTTTCATGATTTGCGGCTCCCTGTACACCATCAGCAGCTACTCAACGCCTGAGGCCAGTGTGAATTTTGTTTACCACACCAGCACAGGCACCAGTTTGTCCCTGAACATCCGCTTTGAGAACCGCTACAGATACAGCAGCATGGTAGACTACAACCCAGCAGAGAGAAAACTCTTAGCTTGGGACAACTTCCACATGGTTGCCTATGATGTCAAACTCTCCAAGATGTGAAGGTCTCGGAGAGGCTGGTGGTATGGGAGGATATGATGTTACCCACCTCCCTCTTACTGATGAACATGTGGCGCAAACCACTGGGAAATTGTCTTATGCAAGTCCTGTTGAAATGAACAGGTTCCAAAGCAGCGTGGTAACACTAGGGTAGGGGTAGGAGACCTTCCATATGTCAGCTCTGTCCAAACCTCTCACTCCATGGCTTTTATGATTGGCATCTAATGGCAACTGCGGCAACATGGCTGGGGTTGTGTTTGCACATCAGTGTCTTTGCTAGCCAGACGTTTTAGGGCTGAAGCACAGAGCCGTTCATCTACCGATAGAGCTTTCACCCTCTCCTCTATGACCTTCTGCTGGGCTCAGAGTTTAAACCCTTTGTTACCAGGATTCCATGCAGGAATGGTCCTTTGGTGACAAGCTTGGCTGTATTAAATAGGAAGGCAAGAGCAATGTTCCAGATAACGCTTGCTTGTCTGCATTTTAATTACATGAAAGCAAACTGGATGCGACCATCTCCGTTGCATTCACTTAATATATGAAATATATTAAATTTACAAGAATCATCCTCACAGAGCCAAAATTCAAGCTACAAACAACATCCGTGAACAAAATAGCTTGATGGGTCCTTCCACATTGCAAAGTGCCTTGGCGAAGGGCCAGTTGGTTGTGGAGGGGTGTGTGTGGGAATGCAGGAGTTGGGTGCTTTCCCCTTTCCAGGGTCTGGGCCTATGTCTGCAAGGTCAACAAGAGACCTGAACACTTGTGTCGGTAAGTGCAGGTGGAAGGAGGTTATAAGGGTAGAGGGAAGTTACAGCAGCGGAAGTGTTAAGCATTCCCTTCTCAGCATTAAAATTATGCAGAACGGAAAAGAGCTTTGCAATGGGGGGGGGGGGCAATTGCACCTTTGTTCCAGGCAACTGCAGGGTCCTTTCTAATCTGCCCCACCAGTTTCAGGTCTATATATATATATATATTTAAACGATTTTATTAGAAGATAAGTCAAATATACATAAACAAGATTACTGTTTAAACAATAATACAGACTGTAAGTGCAAATTCATTTAACACAATGCCATCTATAAACTTATCAGTAGGAACAGCTTATTACCGTGACCTTGTCCCTTTCTTGTTATTTTCCACTTGTTCCACTAGAGTAGTAACGTATAATATATATTTTAGAAGGACCTTAAAAGTATTTTATGAGAGTGCTCGAACCATAAAAAATTCTCATAGATGTATCCAATCTTAACGCACAAATAGCTTCTGCTCCCCAAACCCTGCCCTCCTCAAGCTCCAACCCCCCAAATCTCCAGGTATTTCCCGACCCAGAGCTGGAAACCCTACCAAGAACAGCAACCCCCCCCCCAAAAAAAAAACCCCCACCAAAACACCACACACACCAACAACCAGCCAATCTGCAGGAAAGACTGTGGAAGACTTTTGCAAGGAGCCGGATGAAATTACTAACTCTCAGGCTTTAGATTTGTGTTGTCAGAGTCTGAGTTTTCATACATATTATTCCTGCCTTTATTTCCCAACCTTTTTTTGTTAAATAAATGCTGCTTGTACTGTCAATTTTATTTGTACTTTCAATTTTATTTATTTACCATTTATTTTACTTTCAATTTTACTAGACCCTTGGGTGGGGTGGGGCTTAAAACTTTTTTTTTTTTTTTGGTCTCCCCGTAAATCCCCTAGGGTGGCCATTTACAGGTGATTTTAAAAAGAGGGCAAAAGCCTCAGAAAAGGAGAAAATGTACATAACCTACATTCAGAGCTGCACATTTACATATCATATTAACTAGAAAACTCAACTCACCATAATGCCAGCCCTGTCTGGGGCAGCCAGCAGAGCTAAGTTCCCAGCCTTTCTTTTAGTTCCTGTCACTCAAAAAGCTTCTTCAGGGGATTCATTATACATCCCTTCCTCCTCCTTTCCCTCCCCCCTTTTCGGCTTCCCACAGTGCTCCAACCTCCTGCTCCATTCTTATATTCACCTCATTTCATTCTATTTCATAATACATCTCTAGGTAACTTATCTTTCAACTGTTATTCAATTACATTTATCTGTTTTCTTCTTCATTTAACTTTCAGTAGTTATCAAAGCAAACCAAATTGTCTTTTACATCCCAGTATTTTTCTAGATACTCTTTAAAGTCTTTCCAGTCTGCAAAAAATTATTCTGCTTCCAAGTTATTAAGTTTCCTTGTCATTTTGTCCATTTCCACCATAAAAAGTAATTTTTTAATCCATTCCCCAATCTCAGGGACCTTGTCTTGTTTCCAATATTGGGCATATGTCATTCTGGCAGTATTGATATATGTTTAACTTTTTAAAAAATATATCCTAATAAATTGTTTTTTCAAAAAAAAAAATCATGCCCCCACGAATTCGTGGCACCACAAAACTGCAAAAACATGGTTCTGGAGCACGGATCCTCATGGATCCTCAGGGTTTTTCAATTGTGTCACGCCAAACACACCATCAAATCACAGAACGTGTCCATGGCAACAGGTTGTACCACAAAAATCATGGATCCACAGTTTCGTGGCAACACTATTTCGCAAAAACACGGTTCTAGAGCACGGATCCTCATGGATCCTCAGGGTTTTTCAATTGTGTCACGCCAAACACACCATCAAATCACAGAACGTGTCCATGGCAACAGGTTGTACCACAAAAATCATGGATCCACAGTTTCGTGGCAACACTATTTCGCAAAAACACGGTTCTAGAGCACGGATCCTCATGGATCCTCAGGGTTTTTCAATTGTGTCACGCCAAACACACCATCAAATCACAGAACGTGTCCATGGCAACAGGTTGTACCACAAAAATCATGGATCCACAGTTTCGTGGCAACACTATTTCGCAAAAACACGGTTCTAGAGCACGGATCCTCATGGATCCTCAGGGTTTTTCAATTGTGTCACGCCAAACACACCATCAAATCACAGAACGTGTCCATGGCAACAGGTTGTACCACAAAAATCATGGATCCACAGTTTCGTGGCAACACTATTTCGCAAAAACACGGTTCTAGAGCACGGATCCTCATGGATCCTCAGGGTTTTTCAATTGTGTCACGCCAAACACACCATCAAATCACAGAACGTGTCCATGGCAACAGGTTGTACCACAAAAATCATGGATCCACAGTTTCGTGGCAACACTATTTCGCAAAAACACGGTTCTAGAGCACGGATCCTCATGGATCCTCAGGGTTTTTCAATTGTGTCACGCCAAACACACCATCAAATCACAGAACGTGTCCATGGCAACAGGTTGTACCACAAAAATCATGGATCCACAGTTTCGTGGCAACACTATTTCGCAAAAACACGGTTCTAGAGCACGGATCCTCATGGATCCTCAGGGTTTTTCAATTGTGTCACGCCAAACACACCATCAAATCACAGAACGTGTCCATGGCAACAGGTTGTACCACAAAAATCATGGATCCACAGTTTCGTGGCAACACTATTTCGCAAAAACACGGTTCTAGAGCACGGATCCTCATGGATCCTCAGGGTTTTTCAATTGTGTCACGCCAAACACACCATCAAATCACAGAACGTGTCCATGGCAACAGGTTGTACCACAAAAATCATGGATCCACAGTTTCGTGGCAACACTATTTCGCAAAAACACGGTTCTAGAGCACGGATCCTCATGGATCCTCAGGGTTTTTCAATTGTGTCACGCCAAACACACCATCAAATCACAGAACGTGTCCATGGCAACAGGTTGTACCACAAAAATCATGGATCCACAGTTTCGTGGCAACACTATTTCGCAAAAACACGGTTCTAGAGCACGGATCCTCATGGATCCTCAGGGTTTTTCAATTGTGTCACGCCAAACACACCATCAAATCACAGAACGTGTCCATGGCAACAGGTTGTACCACAAAAATCATGGATCCACAGTTTCGTGGCAACACTATTTCGCAAAAACACGGTTCTAGAGCACGGATCCTCATGGATCCTCAGGGTTTTTCAATTGTGTCACGCCAAACACACCATCAAATCACAGAACGTGTCCATGGCAACAGGTTGTACCACAAAAATCATGGATCCACAGTTTCGTGGCAACACTATTTCGCAAAAACACGGTTCTAGAGCACGGATCCTCATGGATCCTCAGGGTTTTTCAATTGTGTCACGCCAAACACACCATCAAATCACAGAACGTGTCCATGGCAACAGGTTGTACCACAAAAATCATGGATCCACAGTTTCGTGGCAACACTATTTCGCAAAAACACGGTTCTAGAGCACGGATCCTCATGGATCCTCAGGGTTTTTCAATTGTGTCACGCCAAACACACCATCAAATCACAGAACGTGTCCATGGCAACAGGTTGTACCACAAAAATCATGGATCCACAGTTTCGTGGCAACACTATTTCGCAAAAACACGGTTCTAGAGCACGGATCCTCATGGATCCTCAGGGTTTTTCAATTGTGTCACGCCAAACACACCATCAAATCACAGAACGTGTCCATGGCAACAGGTTGTACCACAAAAATCATGGATCCACAGTTTCGTGGCAACACTATTTCGCAAAAACACGGTTCTAGAGCACGGATCCTCATGGATCCTCAGGGTTTTTCAATTGTGTCACGCCAAACACACCATCAAATCACAGAACGTGTCCATGGCAACAGGTTGTACCACAAAAATCATGGATCCACAGTTTCGTGGCAACACTATTTCGCAAAAACACGGTTCTAGAGCACGGATCCTCATGGATCCTCAGGGTTTTTCAATTGTGTCACGCCAAACACACCATCAAATCACAGAACGTGTCCATGGCAACAGGTTGTACCACAAAAATCATGGATCCACAGTTTCGTGGCAACACTATTTCGCAAAAACACGGTTCTAGAGCACGGATCCTCATGGATCCTCAGGGTTTTTCAATTGTGTCACGCCAAACACACCATCAAATCACAGAACGTGTCCATGGCAACAGGTTGTACCACAAAAATCATGGATCCACAGTTTCGTGGCAACACTATTTCGCAAAAACACGGTTCTAGAGCACGGATCCTCATGGATCCTCAGGGTTTTTCAATTGTGTCACGCCAAACACACCATCAAATCACAGAACGTGTCCATGGCAACAGGTTGTACCACAAAAATCATGGATCCACAGTTTCGTGGCAACACTATTTCGCAAAAACACGGTTCTAGAGCACGGATCCTCATGGATCCTCAGGGTTTTTCAATTGTGTCACGCCAAACACACCATCAAATCACAGAACGTGTCCATGGCAACAGGTTGTACCACAAAAATCATGGATCCACAGTTTCGTGGCAAC